AAAAAAAAAGAAATAAAAGGTCTGAAAAGATCAAAGTGTAACAGTGGTGAGATTATGGGAGCTTTTTCTTTCTCTTTATATTTTCTGAATTAAAAGAATTTCAGAATGAATGTGTACTACTTCCATAGTAAAGGGGAAAAGTTATGTTAAAAAGCCAAATAATAATACAAAAGGAGGGGCGCCTGGGTGACTCAGATGGTTAAGCGTCTGCCTTCGGCTCAGGTCATGATCCCAGGGTCCTGGGATGGAGCCCCACATCGGACTCCTGGCTCAGCGGGAAGCCTGCTTCTCCTCTCCCTCTGCCTCTCTCACTGCTCATGCTCCCTCTCTCTCTCTCTCTATCTCTGTGTCTCAAATGAATAAATAAAATCTAAAAAAAAAAATACAAAAGGAAAAAGTACACAAACACCTCTAATGACTCCCAATATATCCATGCGTATGTACATGGCTCGGCCTGGATCTCTCAGGGTCTCTAATCATTAAATTCAATTATCATGCCACGCTTCTCCAGTCTCCTCCTCCTGTCTTTCCTACCCTTAGTTTCCAAATTAATCTTCCTAAAATACTGTGACCCTCTTGAAATTTTACTGCTTAAATAACTTTCAATGATTCTTCATTTTCTAGACAAGAAAGTGAAGATTCCTCAGCCTGGAATTCAAGGCCTTTCACAATTACGGCATTCAGTCAACCCTCTCACTTATTATGCACATTCCAGCTGGTTGACTATTTGCCGTCCTTTCTCTATGCTTGTTGTCTACAGCTTCCATAACTTGTTCATGTGGTTAACTCTGCCTAGTATGTTCTCTCCCTCATGTCCATTTTCTACCCAAGGTTCAGCTTATGCACTATCTTCTCCATGAAACATTTGCTAATTTTTCTTAGTCACTCTGATAATCCATGGCTCTTTAGTCTATCTCTCTAGGCACTTATTTTTTTATTTTTTATGTTCTATCTTTCCTAATAGACAATGATTTCCTTGAAGTAGGATTTTAATCTTATTCATCTTTGTATTCTTCTTACTAAATACTTATTGAATGAATATAATTAATCAACAAAAAGAGAAAAACTCGCAGAATTCAAAACCATTATGTTTCAGTATATTCAAAGTGCCAGTCTGTGGCTATAACATTTCTCCTTTGAACACAGGAAATATAAATTGTTAATGGTACAGGCTGGTCCTTACTCTTCAGGTCTTTGACCTAACTGGCTGATTTATGAAGCTAAAGGAGTTAGATCCTTCATCTCTATTACACTATGAACTGATGCATTTTAGTCTACCAGCATTTATTCAGCTTTATAAATTTAAGCTTTATTCTCTAGGAAAGGGAACAGAGTCGTAGGACTGAATGTTCTCCCTTACCTTTTCGTGTTATGCACTGTGGTTCCTCCCAGGACAATCCTCACTCCAGGAGTGGTACGGTTCAGGTTATAAACTGTTAGAGCCTCTTCATAGGTGGCTCCTCCAATTATAAACACAATGATATCCTGAGGTCTGCAATAATGAAGAAAGTTAACATCATAGGATAAGAGGGGAAAAAGGCAAAGATTTGGTGTTACTATTATATGCACAGATTTAATTTCTAAATCTTTCATTTTTGGTGGAGGAAGCAGAATTAAAGCAGAATAGAATAAAAGGCTTAAAAAAGTTTTAATTATCTGAAATTGGCAGGAAACAGAGCAGGAATTGCTGAATAGTGATTTGCTTTCTGTTTATGAGCGGATGTCTTATAATTTCTGTGCTGTGGATTTCAGAATAGCACAATAGTGTTTGCTGGAACCAAATGTAGAAATATTCTTTTATATTCAAGAGGCTGCAGAGTACTTCACTGTGCCATGATATCAATATAGCAGTAATTTATACTTGTACTACACAACTCCTTTCGATTATAAACCCTCTGTCAAATACTTAGTACAGTGTCATTACAATGGCCTCTGTCCAAGGACTTCAAAGTATTTTGGAAAGTACCAGTATATTAGGATGTTCCCATAAGATGGAAACTAGAAACATTTAATATTTTGAGTGTAAAAAGAGAATGGGACATATAAATTAATGGCACTTCTGGGAACTCCACCTCTTCTTAAAATCTTTGTTTTCAAATCCTTTGATAAACCAAGAAAAAAAAAAAAAACCCTGTGAAAACAAACAAAAAACTCTTGAGTATAGTTTTGATACTGGACATACTGACATATCAGCTCAGTCACTTGCCTCACTGTGTAGTTTTATTGTGTTCCAATCTTTATCAAAACAGCTTCATAACAGAAGAGCCTCCTATTGGCCCCTTCTGTAGATATCAACAAGAAGGAGACCATATCATTTCAAAACAGTTTGCCTTGTTTTTCTTTTCTTATGCCACCAAAAGAAGATAAAATTACTTGATCTTAGCAAGCAAATAATTTTGTTAATGACTTATTGGACATCATTTAAAACTACATCAAGTAGAAGCATCCATTTTGGAGGTTATAGCACAAAACTAAATAGAAACCTCTTTAATCATACAGGCTTATGTATAAATCATGGAAAACCCCCCCTACATTTCCCTTCTGTTTGTCTCTTTCTAAAACCTTGAAGGAATTAACTGAGAGAGTATTTATTCTTATGGCACTTCATGGAAACAGAATCAGATATTACGGCTAAAATTAAAAATGTTCAGATAATCTCTGAATTGCAGAGAAACCCAATAAAAGGCTCCCAATGATGAAAAGGTGGTTATTTTGCAATTAATTAGGTAGAGAGTCAATCATGGCATTTCTGTGTGAAATGCCTGGAACTTAAAATCATGCTTTAAACACTAAAATTACTTTTTCTGAGAGAAAGAGAGAGAGAGTGAGCATGAGCAGGAGCAGGGGCAGGGGGAGGAGGGAGAGAGAGAATCCCAAGCAGGCTCCATGCTCAGCATGGAGCCCAACATGGAGCTGGATCCCACAACCCTGAGATCATGACCTGAGCCGAAATCAAGAGTCGAATGCCCAACCGATCAAGCCACCCAAGTACCCCACAAACATACTTTTTAAGACAAAATAAGCATTTAAGACTACTCACCTGAAACAATGTATTTAGCACAACAATGCTTAAGAGTTACCTACTGTTATATATTCTATAATCATTTTTGCTATTTTATTTTTTATTTTTTTTGAAAAGATTTTATTTATTTATTTGAGAGAGAGTGTGAGCTAGACAGAACACAAGCAGGGGGAGTGGCAGAGGCAGAGGGAGAAGCAGGCTCCCCACTGAGCAGGGAGCCCAATGTGGGGCTCAATCCCAGGATCCTGGAATCATGACCTGAGCTGAAGGCAGATGTGTAACTGACTGGGCCACCCAGGCGCCCCTATTATTTTAAAATATACTATTTTTGACTAGATAAATGTTTGCATATAATATAAAATACAAAAGGGTATACTATAAAAAAAGTGAGTTTCCCTCCCACCACAGTGCTCTTGCACTTCAGTTTCAATGTAGAGGCAAACACTACTACTTGCCTCTTATGTGTCCTTTCGGAGATATTGTCTATGTGTATATATAAGTAATTATATGCATAAATACATATTCACACACACATATACACACTACACATATAGGTATATATACATATAGCACACACACACATACATATACACAAGTAAAGCATTTTATGTGCACTGTTCTGCTCCTTGTCCTTATCTTGGATCTAGTATGCATTTTAAATTTTGGTAGATATCACCAAGTTGCTCCACAGATGTCATTCCACCAGTAACTCAGGAAAGTGCCTATTTCTCCCCATCCTTTCAGCACCATGTATTATCAAGGCTTTTGGTCATTTTAAGTTAATTAAGTTGATCACTTGTTCCTCCTTGATATACTTTCTTCACTTGGTTTCCAAGACATCACATTCTTGGTTTTCTTACTTCATTAGTTGCTCTTTTTCAGTGTTCCTTAATGGCTTCACGTTATCTCCCTGACATCTTAATGGTGGTGGAGTCATTGGTCTTCCTTTCTTCTTCATCTACACTTACTCTCTAGATCTACTTTGCCTAATGTAGTTACCATCAGCCACATATGGCTATTTAAATTTAAACTAATTAAAATAAAATAAAATATTCAGTTCCTCAGTAGAACTAGCCACATTTCAAGTGCTCAATAGTCACATGTGGCTAATGACTACCTTATAAGATGGCACCAATAGAGCACATTTCCATCATTGTAGAAAGTTCTATTAAACTTATCGATCATCCCTAGATGATCGCACCCAAGTTGTATGGTTTTAAATACATCTCTCTGCCGATGCCACCCAAATCTCTATCTCTAGCCCAGACAGACCTGTCTCCTAAATGCCACATTTCTACTAGATGTTTAATAAATTTCTCAATTCAAATGTTCTAATTCCTCATCTCCCCCAAGCTTGTTTCACCCATAGCTTTCCTCATCTTAGTTGATGGCCAGTCTATCTTTTCAGTTGCTTAGGATAAAAACTTTGGAGTCATCCTAACTCCTCTGGAATGAAGCAGATAAGTTAGAGACATAGTGAGAGAAAGAGAGGGAGAAATAAGCAGTGGCCAGACCATGGAAGGCCTTGAGTCTTATATTTCATGGTGGATCACTGAATCACTGAAGGGATATAACAGGTTACCATGATCAAATGTGCTTTTTTGGACAATTCTGGCAGCTGTGTGAGAATGAATTGGGGGATGCAGGTGGGAAAAGATGGAGAACAAAAGGCCACTGTAAGACTTCTAGAAAGATATGATGAAAAATGGGACTAAAGAAATACCAGGAGTGGAGAGGAGGGACTGGATATAGGAGACAAAAAAAAAAAAAAGACTCTTCAGTATTTGGTCAATGGTTAAATATGGAGGATGAGAATAAAGGAACAGTCCACGATAACTTTAAGTTTTCTGGTTTTGGTGACTAGGTGTAGTGGTTTAGGTTTGAGGAAAAAAAGCAAGACTGATTTCCTGAAAGACAAAAACATGTGTTGGAGATACCTGTGGAACATCCCAGCAGAGATGTCCACTAAATATATTATCTGGACATTTAGGCCTAATGATTTCCCTGAATACAGGTGGCAGCTGAAGCCATGGAAATAGATGAGTTCGACCAAGGGAGAGCGTGTAGAGTGAGAAGAGAATCGAAAGACAGAGCTTTGGAGAGTTTTTAACAGCCACAGGACAAGCAAGATGAACAGCCAGCAAAGGCAACTGAGAAGGAAACTGTCAGAAAGGTAGGAGAAGAACCAGAAGGGAGAGGCCAAGGGACAAGTGACTTTCAAGAAGAACAGAATGGTTAACAGTGTGAGAACAGTCGAATAAATAAGGTGAGGACTGAAAGAGACCACTGTGTGTGCTGTTGTATATGAATCTGTAAGAAAAGTCTTAGTGTATTATAGTGGAGTAAGAAGCCAGGGTGCATGGATTGAAGAAGACAGTGACTTTATCCAGGAAGCTTGACTGTGAAAGAAAGGAGACAGGTTAGAGGAGAGCCCGGATTCAAGGGCTTTTTACTTACTGCTTGTTTAATAGGAGAAACCCAAGTATGCTTGTCGTCTGTGGGAAAGTAGTTAGATGAGGAGAAGCTGAAAATATAGGAGGCAGGGAGAGAAAGGGAGCAAGCAAATAATCAATACAGGAAGGCTGCAGAAGAGATGGTAGGAGTCTAAAACTAGAGCGCGGACAGAATGATTAGCTCTAAATAGGAAAAAGGATGTATTTCCTTTAGAATGGAGGAAGGACATAAAGGTAGGTATATGTAAATAAGTTTATAAATATGGGGGCTAGACACTGAGGGAGTTAATGTCTGACAGATTCAATTTTTTTTTTTTCTAGGAAACACTGCTGTGGGCTGGGGTGGGTTAGGTGATTTGGAGAGAATGGAAAACATTCAAAACTGATGTGGAGAAAGAGACAAAGAGAAAGAACTAAGGATGCATAAAAGTTTGAGTATCTGGGAAGGCCCAAATGAGTTTAGAAACAATGAATTTGTAGTGGCACTAATCCATAATTTCTGTGATTTCCTCTAGTATCACAGAGAAGTAGATACTAAGTTATTAATCCAATATTAATCTAGTGCTTTAGAGGCTGCAGGGAAAGAGGTTCTTTGTAACTTACAAGAAAGCATTACCTGAATCACTAAAATACTCTACACCATCAAGGTTTCTTTCCTTCAAGTCCTTGCCTCCAGTTACTGGCCAGCTTTCTCTTGCTGTGAAAGGTCATTTGCTTAGGAAACGTTGCATGATTATGACAGTAATATTTTTCTACCAAGTATGATGAACTCTTAATTATTCAAGGACTGAATATTCAGGTAAAATATAGGTTCTCTTCTTTTTCTCCAACTGATAGGTATTGTTTCGGTTCTGACTAATCTTTCTACAGAAGGGGAAAGGGAATATGAACAGCTAAGACTCAAGTTTAGTTCTTGTCAGACTCTTTAGGAATCGATTTCATAAGGAGATCAACTAAGCTACAGTTGGCTATAATTTTAAATAGCGACATGAGTCTCTGTAACCTTTATCATAGTAT